CAATTACTGGATCAGTTGTAATCAAAGCTGATCATTCCCAGGAGCACAGGAGATTTTATTACCCTCCAAAGATTGATTTGGGGCTGCGAGAATAATCCTTTTTTTTTTTTTGCTTTAAGCATGTTTGTCATGTAGTTTGGGAAAATTAGGTAGAATTTATTCGAAGCAATAAAATGGGAAAATATTTCCCTGGGGCACCATGCCACCAAAAACACAAACACAACTGTTAAAACATGTCTCTGGGGCTGCAACCAGATACTGAAACTCTACTCTGCTGCAGCCAGCTCCTGAATTCTTCCATGTGTACAGTGGAACTTGTTTTCTTTTACGTGTTATCTGCTTTTCAACCTGTTCGTGCACACGAGATGACACAAAACCATTTGCTGCTGATAAAAATGTTGCACAGGCAGGTTTGAGGTTGGACAGGATGACAGAGAGTCTTCCATAATCTCTTGTTTTTATATCACTATACTGCTCCCTGTGCAGTCATCCATGCATGGGTGAACGGGTCCGACGCTGGGCCCATCCCACCCCAGGAGGAAGGGATCCCCAGGCTGTGTGGGCCGGGGGGATCCTGGTAACCTGCGTGCATCCCAGCCGTCATGCCTCCACCCCTGTGTTCCTACAGAAACTAACTGCCTTGAGGATTTATCACCAAAGAGCTAAATACACTGAGGCATGCAATGTTGACTCTGTTCCCTTCTCACTGTGTTATTACTCAATTGGCAAGCACCGTGTGCAAAACATAATTATTCCACCGCACCATTAATTCAGCAAATGCAGCAGGAACACCAGTTGGAGGTGTAACTGAAACGCAGACATGTAACGATATAGCTGAGCCTGATTTTAAGTTGCCGTTTCTTAACTTTACTGTTGCCTAAACAAAGTTGTCTATGTGTTTATCGTGTGCGAGAGAAAGTGACTAAATTTGTGTTTTTGCTGAAGAAAATGCGAGAGACAATCCTGGCCTCGTCTCGATATGAGAAGGTGATACGAGCTGATTGCTTTGATCGCTGTGTCACATCTGTTTTGTGTACAAATTATAGCTTTGAAATTGGAGCGAGTGCTCATTTTCCCTGTGGTAGGTAAAATGAGCTGTTGAAAAGCACCAGCGATCCAGTTCCATCTCAGGCACAGCTTTGCCCCATGGCCTGACTCTAAGGCACGACGTTAGAGGAGGGAAATCATTAGTTACTCCTCAGTCATTTCTGATTTCATTAAAGGAGCAGCCCATTTTTTCCGGCTGGGAGAAGATTGATGCCCCTCTCATACTAGTACAGCAAACTCGAAGATTTGTATCTCAGTCTAGCATAAATAATGAGGAAACTGCTCTCGGAAGGTTACAAACCAACCTACCAACACGTTTGAAGCTCAATAAAGCTGCTTTCAGTTGTTCATTGAACTGCTGCTAATCTTCTGAAGTGATCCAGAGAATGCAAATTTAGAGTAGAGGTTCTCCTGCCTGCCCCCAAATAAAAACTCCAGATAATGTCTGATGCAAAACTGAAAAAGACAAACCACAAAAGAATACAAAATATTTCAAGTCAAAAGAAGATCCATACGTGCACTTCGACTAAGATAACTTGATAAGACAACAGTTTAGAGTTATTGGTTATATGAGCTTGTGTCGACGTACTTCAACACAAACACTTGATCTCAACAAGTTGTATTTCTGCAGAGATGTTCATGTTGTTGTGAAAGCGATTGTGGAGATATTCTCCAGAGGTTGTGTCTGAAAGCACTTGATCTTTCTAGGATTTAAACAAACCAGATAAACGAGGAAGTTTCAAAGGTGCTGGTATATTGTTGGGAAGGCTTTATGCTAAGCTAAGCTAAAGCACGTCTGTGTGCTTCTTTGCTGGACAGACATGAGAGTGGGGGGTGTCTCTCCTCAACATTTCCTCTTGGCAAGAAAATGGATAAAGCCTTTTTTTCCCCAAATCTCTAACTGCACAAGAAATTGTAGCACTAAATTAACTTTCCATATTTGTACTGATCACGTGCATTTTGCAGAATAAATCTGATCTACGTTTGATTGATGATTATGTTGACTAATTAGTTGTTTTTACTTGATGTTTCAGTTTATTTTAAAGTGTAGCAATAATTGGGAAATTGAGGTTTCAGGAACATGACCAGCACATGAGAAGAATCAGGCAAGATTAAGGGATTTCTGTAAATCTGGCATCAATCTGAAGCTATTATAAATGAAACATAATCCAAATAAAACAGTCTCCGTCTGTGAAGTGAAACGCGCGTACTGTGCAGTTTATTTTACTTGCAAATTTCATATGTAACAACAAAAGACTGTTTATTATTTGTCTCTTCTTTGCTCTCGCTCAGATGACTTAATTAGGTAATTTCGCTGTGTTAAACAAGCGTAACCTTGTCAGGGGTCGGACGTGTTGAAAGCAGAGTTCATCATCACGCAGCTCAAACTAAAAGGTGGTTCACACTGTCAGCGGTGCATGAGGTGTGTGCTCTCACAGTGGCCCTGATTCCTGTGGGACTCGCTCTCGTCTCCTATGTGTGGGTTGAACCAAAAGGTCCCACACACTGACGCATTAATCATCACTGGGAATGAGAGAGAGGAAACAAAAACCCTTGCCTCGGGCTAAACCCAGCCATTACTCAACACGCCAGGCGTGATGTTTGACTTGACTCCCCAATTACAGCCATCACAGATCCCTCGCTGCTCTCAACAGTGACAGATTCCTCTCATCTTTAGAGTGGAGACCAATAAGGCTTACAAATGTGTACCTCTGACATATCGCTCCGAAATTCTACAACGTGACGGTTCGCAGACATTGTTTGAAATGTACTTCACTTATCATCTCATTAAAAAAATTCCACTGGCGGCACAACTCCATACCTCGCTATTGTGATCACTTTCAAATGGAAAATCTCCAGAGGAATGCAGTGTACGTCTGCACGCTGCCAACAGCCCACACACAGGATTGGTCAGATAGAAAGCAAATGCCATCATAAGAACTGTTTCGACTGTTTCCACTGGGCACAAGGGGAAAAACTATGTAAATGTGCAGTGTAAATGTTTGGCTTGTTTGAGAACACACATTTCTTGCCAAGACAGCTTCAGATGGTTGTTTTTCTCTTGGACATTACAGATGTGTAATGAGATAAACTCACAAACTACCCAAGAAAATCAAGTTTACTACTTTTCACTGTGTGTGGTGAACGTTCTTTTCTTCACAAACACAAAAAAAAAACCCCGGATAGAGTGGCACCGACGAATGCGACATTGAATGCAGCCACTTCCGCGGACGTCGAGCTCAAAGCTCAGGTTCTCGTCCAGAGGTGACAATGTTTGGCAAAGACACTATCTGGCACAACACTGTGTCTTAAGAGTGATTATGTCATTACCCTCTGATTGTGGGAGATGAGATGAAAAGAATGTCAGAGAGGGAGGCACTGGGGGCTAATCCTCGCCGAGGTGTTCTCTTTCAGGACCCTTTCTATGGGGCTTTGTGAGGGGCTTACACGGCATGCTGCCCCAGTTTTCGGGGCCGCACCGCCCCTATCGGATGTCCCAGACACAGCGGAGTCAGACTAGGCCTGTGAATGACAGAATCAATGGGCTGGGAACAACATCACCATAAGTCTTTAAATATCTGCCTACCTAACTTTCCCAGGAGTTACATCACGGCGGTGGGCCTATAAGGGGCTGCAGGAGACGGGGGG